ACAAAGGATTACAGGAAAATCCACCAGAGGCCTTGTTGTCTACTGTTAAGAGCTGAATGTCACTTAACAGGTTTGATCTATCTAGGTCCAACGCAAGGTTCTAGTACTAACCCCATTTACAGGGTGCTTCAAAGAATTACTTAATGTCCAAATAATAATTGAATTGCTCTTCATTTACTTTACTGCTTACCTTACATGATAGACTTTCACATTGCAATTTGTGATCTAATAAATGGCTTAATGAGTGGGGGTTTTTTGCGCAAGCTTTTCAGTAGAGTGGGTAGTCTTCAAAGTCATAATTAAACCATTCTCCAGATTTGAGGCCAGTAAGTGACTTTACTTTTGTGTTACAGCCATAGTAATGTGCAAATGCACTCCCACTTCTGTGATTTTTAAAATGATTTATTTATTTATTTTATTTATTTGATTTATATCCCGCCCATCTGATACATCTATACCACTCTGAGCGGTAAACTTATAGTAAACTTATAGTAAACTTATTGCACCTCTGAGTTAAGGAACTATTGTCCAAGCTAAATTGTAGGAATAGGTCAGATTATATATATATAAACATGTGAATAAAATGAGAAGACACAGCACTAATATGAGAACTGAGGGCAGACTAATGACTAACAATTGAGCACTCATGCCACACCAAGAAATATGGCATGTTGCTACCCAAACTTCCTGGTATAGCTTAAGAACTCACAATTCCTCATGTTGCTCTTCCCCATTCTAAAAGGTCTTGAGTGTCAGATTCGTAGGAGCTCCTGTGCTGTGAGACTCGTTTTTTTAAAAAACAAAAACAAAAACAGAGAATGGCACTTCCTGGTCACTCTGTACAAACAGGAAATCCCTCATTAATACTAACAACTTACATTTTGATCATCAACAAGCCAAAATGAATTTATTCTCGAAGGCTTTCTCAGCCAGGATCTGATGGTTGTTGTGGGTTTTTCGGGCTCTTTGGCCGTATTGAGAAGGTTGTTCTTCCTGACGTTTCGCCAGTCTCTGTGGCCGGCATCTTCAGAGGACTGGAGTAGGAACTCAGTCCATGCTCTGTGAATTACTAATGAATTACTTTTCATAAGTAATGTTTTGAGCTCTGTTATGAGAAAGAAGCTCTGTTTAGTCTCAGAGACTTGAGCTATATAGTCCAGGAATAAGGCAATATTATATTTTGCTTATGGCATCGATATGTGCAGCCCAAACAGATGTGTCAGATCCAAGACACACACACACAAAAAAAACCCAAACAGCTGACACTTCTGTTATATATGACATATGAAGTTTTTGAGTGTGTGCCATGTTATACAGCATCCTGATACCTGATTTGTTTTTATGAACATGGCAACTCAGCAATGCTGTCTGATCAAGGAATATTGGACGTATAATTGTGATTACAGAATTAGTTTGCTTTGGTGTTTATTCACTTACAGTGAGTGTTTCAATGGTTTTGATTATGGTGCCTTTAATTGCTTTATTGTTTGATTTCTTTTAAATGTATTAACGGGCAGTACTGCTTTTCAGTGAAAGAGTGGGATAAAAATGTAATAAATAAATAGAATAGCAAGTAAATAACTTGAGATACATTTGCAATTGGGTGCAAAAATCTTTACTGCCAAAACCACTTTGGCATCAGAATAGTTATGCAAAATGCCCTTTCAGACAGTGCCATTTCACACAGATATCAGTAGGTCATAACTGCAAAAATAAATTGTAATGTCTGAATTCCACGTAGAATATATGAAGTTTAAATTTAAGCACTGGTATCAAAATGTCACACAAACATATAACAAAGATTTTATTAATATGTTTATTGTCTAGCAAGCATAATATAAGAAAATTTTAATAGTTTCATAGCAAAGGCAAACAAAAAAGTTAAAATAAATGACACATTTGAGTTTAAAGAAAATTAATTTTATACTAATTATTCTCAGAGCAGTATTTTAAGTCTACTATGAAGCACATAAGAAATAAATATGGAATAGAAGTTCTCCTTCACTTACATTTACTAATGTCCTTTTTCTTTTAAGGGAGTGTCTACCATAAAAATAAAAAACAACCATTTGAGTTAAGTTCTTTTTTCCAACTGAGGACAAAAAGTGGGGCTGCTTCCCTCTTCCTTTATTCTAAATGTACTTATCATTTTAATATACATGAACAGAGGTACTGTTTTGTAAAGATGCATGCTATGCATGCAAATTATTTAACACATCACTGTGCATCCCAATTTCAGAAACATTCCTGCTCTGGCTTGGCATCTGGCAGCAAGACAACCGAATTTCAGCCCATAGTATTCAACATCCAACATGCAAGCACTTCTTTTTAAAAATGTATTACAGGGATATATACATGTATATTGTGCTTTACATCCCAGCTTTCTTGAGAATACCATGCAGACATTAGTAATTTTAAAAAATTAACATAATAAAAAGCAGTACAAAATACACCACCAGAAGCAGTCAAATATGAACAATTATACAGAGCTGTCATAATAAATTCAAAAAGAGGTCCTATCTAAACACAACTTTCTGCACCAATTTATAAAATGTCCAGAGAATTGTCTTGACTTCTAAGAAAAGCGTACACAACTTGGCTAAGAAGGTATATCCCCCCCGGTAGCAATCGGTCTCATTTCAGATGGAGGAGGGACAACCTGTTGGAGTGGCAGTAGCCAAAGCTCTCCTGCCACTGTCTCCAACTTTGCAACTCCAACATACAACACCAAGCTTTACATCATCTCCACTCCCTGTTGGCTACTTTTCATGGATGTAGGCAGTAGCCAAAGCTCTCCTGCCACCATCTCCAACTCTGCAACTCCATCCCATGTACAACACCAAGCTTTACATCATCTTCACTCCCTGTTGGCTACTTTTCATGGATGTTGCTGTTGTTCAGCCAACTAACCATATAAGAGGAGGGGAGGGAGGAGGTGATTGGAACAGCAAAAGAAGCCCAGAGGTTGAAGAGAGAACCACCATGGCTACCACTGGAACATACAAATGGGTTTAAGAATGGGGGCAGAAAGGAAGAGGTTGTCATAGCAAATGAAAAGAGGGAAGGAGGCTAAGGAGATAGGAAATGACAGCAGTGGCCCTTTTCCATGCAGGGAGTGGCACACTTTGGTGCTCTTAATGTCTCGCTGTCTGAGGAAGCCAACTCATCCAGACTAATGGTAGGACCAGTCCTAAATAGGAAGTTCAAAACATGAAGGAAAACACAGATTTCCCCAGGTTGTACAATTACAGTGGTTCCCTGCATGACAATGATAACCCGTTCCATAGAAATTGCTGTTTAGCGAAATCATTGTCTTGCGAAAACCGTTTCCCCAGTGGAATGCATTGAAACCCGTTTAATGCGTTCCAATGGGGAAAAATCGTTGTCATTTTGCGAAGATCGCCCATAGGGCAGCCATTTTGCGAAGTGCCGATCAGCTGTTAAAATGGCTGTCCTGTGAAGCATCGGTCCCGAAAACATAGGGAAGCCATTTTGCAAAGCCGCCGATCAGCTGTAAAAATCATTGTCTTGCAAAAAAACGGTCCACGAAGCATGGACCAAATCATTGTCCAGCGAAAATCGCCCATTGGAATCACTGTTTTGTGAATCGCTATAGCAATCACAAAACCTCATCGTCATGCGGATTCGTCGTTTTGCAAGGTCGCCGTCTAGTGAGGTAGAAATGCCCAATGTAGCAAAAAGTCTGCAGGGGTATCAAATTAGCTCCCTAGCTCTGTAAACTTTGGAACAGCAAATTCTGATCATTCTCCTGTGCATGATCTACAAAAATTACTTCTACAAGTTGTTTCTCAGGCTGAAGTTTTCAGACATGCTGATCTCACCAAAAAAATCGCTATTAGTCAATCATGGTTAAAACAAGGTCAGTCCTTCCCCTCATAAAACCTTTTAAATCTGACATCAGAATGATTGGCAAGGAGAAGTGTTTTTACTTATACTGTAGGACCTACAGGCATGGGAAAGCTGATTTAAAAATGCAGTAAAAACGCTGGTTGGTACTCGTAGCTGTTGGTACTTGAACATTGGCACATATTTTCAAGGCATTTTTAAAAACAGATTGTCCATTTCTGTGGTCCCTTATGTAAAACAGCTAAGTGGATAACTCAGTGAGACAGATATCTGTCTGTGGAGTCATATATTGGGAGTTCAATTCCCGGTGTGGCCCTGGGCAAGCTGTACAGTCCCAGAAATGCCCCCAGAAGAAAGGAATGGTGAGCCACTTCTGAGTACTCTCTGCTAGAAAACCCTCTGCAAAGGGCCTCCATGAGTCAGAATTGACTTGAACGTACACATTTTTTATTACGTAAAACAACTCTCACATTACAGGGCACAATAAAACCTGTTTATAAAATGAGATGGTGTCATGTCCATCATCCTTGAAGAAGATGCAATACTCCCATTTATGCTTTCCTTATTATGCTTGGGAATGTGCCCTGGTGCTAAGAAACACTTTATTTCATCTCAGTAAATAAAAGATATTGCCAGGCCTGCAGACTCAAGAATGGTTCTCAGATTCTTAAAAATGCTCACAGAGTATGGCACCTTTCTCCCTAGGTTTCTTCCTTACTCCCTGAAATATGATTTGATTGAAATTTGGCTCAGAGGCAGTGTGCTCCTTTCATGTATTTCCCTGAAGCTTTTCTCTGTGGTTGTTTGGGGATGAAGAAATGTTTCTGCTGCCCTTGAGGGAAGAGGGAGGGAAGGAGGTCAGAAGAAATTTTCACTATACCTAGTTAATCACCCTGTTGCCAAAGTACTAATTAAAAATAAAAGGGGAATAGGAAGTACAGTACAAGGATGAAGACAATCCTTTGCCTCCTCTTTCTACCCCTAATTCGTTCTGCTGCCTTTGAGGGAAGAGGGAGGGAAGCAGGTCAGAAGAAATTTTCACTATACCTAATTCATCACCCTGTTGCCAAAGGGGAATAGGAAGTACAAGGATGAAGACAGTCCTTTGCCTCCTCTTTCTACCCCTAATTCCCCTAAGCAGTATTTATTTCCTTGGGTGTATACAGAAAGGTGAGAAGGGACCATTGGGAAAATTGGCTGATGTGTCCCTCGGATGACTTGCCAGAACTCAGTCCACAAGGAACAGCCATCTTTCTTTCCTGGCCTTAGCTTGTTTCTCTGTAAATACAGAAATTGTGTAGCCTAAATGAATGACAAAGGAAACCCACACAAAGCTTAATTTGAAATAAATATCATTGGTCTCTGTTAACTTGTTAAGATGATGTTGACAGGTAGCTGTGTCCAAGGACTTAACTTAGTGAAATTACTTCTACTCAGGGCTGCTTGGATAGTAGGTCTATGAAGTATCCAGTTTCATCCTATGAACCATAGGACACTTTATAAAAAAACTTATTATATTTTGAAACCAATTGTTCAAGGCACTGAAGCAGAATTTGAAATCACATACTGTATTATCTCTATCTATATTCCTCAAGAAATCCATGTATGTGTCCAAGTAATTTAATATTATGCCTTTAAACATCCTATGTGAACTACTTTCTGATGATATGTAGAGCAAAATATCTGAGCCTTAATTAATTGACTATGTCTATGCAGATCAACAAGACTTATTGCATTTGTAATCATGTCTCTCACAATTTAACATTTGCCTAAAGAAAGAATGCATCCACCTGAAAGCCATCCTGATGGCCACTGCCTTTTAACTTAAAAGATAATTCACATGCCATCAGACTTGATTTCCTTTTTCAGCTTGGCCAGACGCACAAGACAATCATCTCGCCAGTGTCTCCTGGCATTTAGATGCTCTGGGTCAGCTGGGGTTTCTTTACACATTGCCTGAAACAGAGGAAAAAGCATTGTAAGCCATAAATAGGAAAACTATAATATCCTCTTCTATTAAAGGAGCACCCCGGTTCAGGGTTCTCAACACTCTCCAAACACACTTCACTTCCTGCCTCCTGCCTCCATGTTCCATTTTCTTTTCCAATTGTTATTTTACTTCCTTGGCTTCTCAATGTGCTTAGTTTTTTGGGGGGGGAGGCTATTCTTTTGTTGCTGATTTCCCTGCCCCCACTTCATAGGGCTTGCTTTTTGTGTTAAATTATCCTGTACTTTTGCCAACCTTGGATAAGTTAACAGGTGTTAATATGCAACTGTCATTCTATTTGGTCCAATCTCCACATTTTTCCTTCCACTGAATACTATTCTGTTATTTCTGTGCATGTCTCAACAACTTGTTCAAAATGAGGAGACCTGAAAAATGCAATTTTTATACTGCCTGTCTACATGTTAAAAAGAAAGAAAGAAAGAAAGAAAGAAAGAAAGAAAGAAAGAAAGAAAGAAAGAAAGAAAGAAAGAAAGAAAGAAAGAAAGAAAAATAAACCGCAAACATGTATTGGATATAGTTGGCTCATTTGTAATTTTAGAATACTGATGTTTGGACATGCTTTGTGCATCTTTCTTGAAAACAAAAGGGGAAGCGGGATTTTATTTGCAGAGGCAAAGGTTTGTGTGCATACAGTTGGTTCACAACTCAACAGATACAAAATCCTGATATGTTTTCTTCTAGTTGCAGCTACATTTACGACGATTCTCCATCCCTCCCTCTGCCATTCAAAACTATGTATACAGGACAATTTCTATTATATCTGTAGCCCAACATCCCTTCTTTTGTAGACACCCATCTTTTGCACACATTTTAAAAAATCTTCTATACTGATGTGTGTTTTAATGTGCTTGGTTCGTTTTATTAATACTCTCCCCATCTTTCTTAACTGTGCCATCTGTCTTTTAATCCACTGTTGTGGTTAGCTTGGTGGCGGCTAACTGCCGTGTGTGTGTGTGTGTGTGTGTGTGTGTGTGTGTGTGTGTGTGTGTGTGTGTGTGTGTGTGTGTGTGTGTGTGTGTGTGTGAGGGGGAGAGAGAGAGGGAGGGAGGGAGAGAGACTGACTCAAAACTATGAAAAAGAGCAGGCAAGAAAAAGAGACACCTTGAATTAAGGCGGGGGGAGGGTGGCTTTTTAAGGTGCACCGGTGGACATAACGAGGGTCCAGCCCCCTGGGGCCAGAATGTCCACTCACATTCTGCTGTTGCTGAGGGCTCCACGCTCCCTTCCTATTGCTCCAGAGCTCACAGTCTGCGAAACCACTCCTGGCAGGAGGATGAGCCTTGCTTCAAGGTCAAAGAGTGGGTCACAGACCGCAAGCTCCAGAGCAATAGGAAGGGAGCGCTCAGCCCGCAGCAACAGCAGAAGGTGAGTGGACAGTCTGGCCCCAGGGTGCTCAGCACACGTTAGGTCCACCTGTGCAGGGGTATTTGTATACGAATACGAATACCCCCATCTCGAATACCCCATCTCTAATCAACACTTCAGATAAGCTCTGAGGTGGCTTTTAAAATATACAAACAAGGTCCTAAGAATTATATGCAATCATGTACTTTGTTTACAACCTTGCCATGTGTCCAAACAGGAATTTCCTTTTGCTTCTTTAACTATCTTTGCAGCCATGGTTTATTTTTCCCCATTGTTCAAGTGGTCTAGAACAGTACCAGTTCCTACTGGTCTTTTGATGCTAGGAAATGGGATAATGTTTTTAGGCTTTCAGCCAGTTAAGTACCTGTTGAGCATCTGAAGTTTTGATTTCTCTCCCTCCCTCTCTGCCTTCCTGTAGACATTATAAATCAGATTCTGATTAGATGTCGCTTTGTAAGAGAAGCAGGTAAATTACAGAATGACATACAGCTAAGGCATTAAGCTATTGTTTTTGTACTGAGAGACAACAGCAGACCTTGAAGGTTTAGAGACAATGATGCTGGTAAGATAAGAACTGTGAGACAGTGTTCTCAGAAGCTTATGCATTCTGAAGGAACACAATGGTGAACATTAAGATTATCCTAGAATGGAAATTTTGAAGTGTTTTGATATACTAACTAACAGGTTCACATTTATACTATGAAAGCATTTCTGACAAGTATAGAAGAGAGTTTGGGCTATGGCATGACAACCAGATGCCTCATAAATTAGTGAGATGACTGAAATATACTTAAGCTGAACCCTCTAACCATATACATATATCCTTTGAAACTAAAACAGTGTTAGACCCTTCAGGCATGGGCAATGCTACTTAAATTGTTTTAACAAGTGAAACCAAAATCAAATTAGCATGGTTTTTAAAGAAAGGTGTGTTTCCTTGCCCTTAATGTCCACATGTGGCAAATGTAATGATATAGTGAATGGGGCATGTACTGATAGCTATCATATGCACAATGTGTTTTGTATACCACATCAAACAGATGCCACTCAAAGTGACAGCAGCCAGAAGCAAGTGCTCTGACAGCTCATTAAAACCAGGTCTAGATTGACTGTACTGATCTTAATACCCACAGATCTATAATAAAATTCATTACTTATTACATTTTCAAAAAAGAGAGATGGACATTAAGATTCTCACACTGGAAATGTGTATAAACAGTATCTCTACAATTATTAGGATGCTCAATGCAGCCAATAGGCTTCCTCTAATCAATCTAATGTCCTGTTACTCCAGTTGGAAAATGCACCTGATTAATCTTTTGTTCTGTTGCTCCTGCAAAATCTGGTATTGGCCCAAAGCTTTTCAAGACACGTATCATGCCTTCACGATATCTGTCACAATAGTTCAGCATTCCTGAAATAGAAATACAGTAGAAACTCTTGTTTGGTATTCCCCAACAGAAAATCCTACATAAGCCACAAAATTGTAAGATTTCTCGAATTTCAGAATTAAAAATAACAATTCATTTGTTATGTCAGTTGCAGGGTTAAACCTAGATTTTTGGTTAGGATTTGAGCTTTTGCCTTTACGCATCTCGTATTTCTAGAATCCAATGAGAATTTTGGTGACCCCATTGAATTGGGACAAACAACCAGCAGCCAGAGTACGCAAGGTGCGGTTCTCAGTATCAGAGTTCGCTGAAAAACAGTATGGAACTTCTTTTTGATCCCAGTACATTACATTGATTGTAATTAAAAAGTGCCTTAGTGGTAAAATACATTGATTGGTATATTTTTGATCTCCCCAAAACCTGATAACCTGGCAAGTGGCTGAAACTTGGATACATTTTACAACTCTTCAGGTGATAATACAAAAATGCCTGTTTTGTATGTCTAGCTTGATCTGAATTCCACAACAAATCATTACTCTGGGAAACTGAAATACTTGTTCAAGTGGTTGTTAAAGGAATGTGTTGACTTTGCTTATTACTCACTGCTGAGAGCACTAGCACACTACTAGTATGTTATGTTTTAGGTTTTTAAAAATATTTTTGTAAAACAAAAATGCACTGGGTAACACTGGGTAATCCAGATGTTCTTGAAGTGCAACTCTCAGAAGCCTTTGACACTAGCTCTGTGTCTGAGGTTTCTGGGAGTTTCAGTCCAAGAAGAAGATTGGGAACCACTGATATAACGAATACCTTTATGTTACAGGTAACATTGTTACTTGTGACATGTTACTTCCAATTCTGATGGAATTCTGAATTCCATACAGAATAGTAAACATTATGAGCCTACTGACATATATAGCTAATGTAAGACCCATGTTCAGGTTGTCAACTTTTTTTTAATTAGGAAAAGAAGAGTAAAAAAAAACCTTTTTGCTGAACTTTTAGTGACATTTATTGCATTGGCAATATGAACTGTGAATCAACACTAAAAGGTCCAGATGGCATAAACAGTTCTTAAAACTATAGTATTTTTTCCAGTGAAGATATTTAAGAATTTATTGGAAACATACCTATCCAGTTCATTTTCTTGCTTTTTTCCTCTCTTTTGTTAGTGGCTAGGTTTTTACGACCTTCCATTAATTCAGAATGGTTGAAAACAAGCATATAATCTTACTGTGTAATGTGGAATCTCAAAAGATTAGGCACACACACAGGAAGAATTTTGTATTAAGATTATACTATGATAGTTAAATGAGAGAATAGTTCCAGTAGCACTATACTACAGGGATCTCTGATAGCATTTGTTTTCTTGTGCTTTATGCCAAAAATTTAAAATGTCTAGCCTTGGGATAAGAACTTTCTGGTTCCCAAATCAACATCCACCATTATCATATTTAAGTCATTTGGATTGCCTTACAGTACTTCTCTTGTTAAAAAATGTTGAGGGCTTCCTTTCTGTCTGTCAGCATTTAGTTCTCATGTTTCTTTCTCTCTCTGTGTTCTCATTGACTTGCTGTTAGCATTTGTACTCAAATCAGAAGGCTGTGGCACAGAGCCCTACGTTCAACTCTCTTCTCATTGACTGTATGGGCAGAGCAAAGACTCTTACAGTAAGCTCCCATGCATTCTTTCTGAAGCCCCACGAGTTCAATGGGACCCAGTTTTAGTTAAACGTGCAGAGAGATCTGGGCATCTTCCAGCAGTGGCAGGTTACACTACTCCTCACTGAACCTACAATCGTAAACTCTGCCCCCAATGTGGCTATGCTCCCTAATTTCTTGACCAGCCTTGATTTTAAAACATGGTGAGCAAGGACAGTGCACCTTTGTTTTTAAGCAAGATCATGATCCCAGCAGTACAATTTGGCTTAAAACAGGGTGCATGCTCCTTATTCATCTTGTTTTTAACTGAAGCTCTTTTGGTTTTCTTAAACCGTGTTTTGCCACTGCTGCTGCAGCACATTGTCCCAGCATATACTATTGCAGGGGATGCTGCCCCTCCATGGGATAAAGGATTACATCCCAAGGCAATATCTTTGGGGAGGAGCTCCTACATGCATCAATCCCTCAAATACCAAAGGTAATGGGATGCCCCACACATGGCAGGCCCTACAGAGAGAAAAATAGTGGGTATACCCTAGCTAAGAAACCCTTGAAGTAGATGCAGATGTCCACTCTTTCCTACTACTAATAGTAGTAGCTATTATTTTATAATTTGAAAAAGGTACAGTCTTGCCAAAATGTTCATAGTATATCATAAACATGATATATCTTAAATGTATCTTAAGGAAATGCAATCTATTGCCTGCAATCGCAATCATAATTCATACAGCACATCTCTTAGAAATCTCCAGAAATTCTAAGAACCATAGAAGAAAATCTCCCAAAGGACAGGACCTGTAACTCCAATCCAGTCTCATTATAAGATTAAATGGTATCCTTGATGACATTACGTCCTGAATCCAGGGAACACCCATATTTCATTTCTGGTAGTAAAGGTTACATACCTTCTGCATTCAGATGCATTGTTTCCAGGGGCCCTATAAAAGCGTACCGCATTCCCAAGCCATCAGACATCACAAGGTCTAGATCAACAGGAGATATTATTCCTTCCTGCACAGCAAGAATATTAATGAATATTGAAATACTATTTTACACAAATCCTGTTTTCTTGTCTGCTGTGCAACCCATTTGGGGCAGAAGTAATGAAAACAAAAATGTAAAAATATATTTTTTAAAAAAAAACCCTGTTGCTAAAATATCTATTATGTTCAATATCATCATTAATCATATAGCCATCAGTGTGCTTGACACATAACAGTATACAAGAGAAAAGGAGACTGCAATATAACAGTGAAGAGGATAAACAACAGAGGAGGAGGAAGAGGAGGAGGGAAGAAGACCTGAAAGTAAATAGAAGAATCCACATGGATTTCGGCTACACATATGTAAGCTTAGTTATGAGAGGCACAGGAACTAGGGAGTTGTACCACATTCTTCATGGAGAGCTTTAGAGATATAACACCAAAGAACAAAAACTGGGTGTGAGCATGGTTAAGAAATCTGTGTAATTGTTTAAGGAAGGGACTTCACGTGATCTAAGCCACGTGAGATGAAATGTTTTTTTGCAGTGGAGCATTGAATAGACATGAGGAGACCAAGGAAAGACAAGGGAAGACCAAAGAGGACAGGGCATGGATCAAAGCTTTTGGTGAAAAGACAGGAGAAGCAGCACTGCATTTCTGGAATGTTGTAAAAGGGATGCAACATGAGTTGATTGTGGAGAAATATGTGAAAGAAAAAGATTTCCAGAGAAGATAAAGCCAAGGGTTTGTACTTGTTCAATAAGATGGCCATATTACAAAGCAGAGTTCAGCAATACTTTTATTAGGTCACAAAAATGTTAAGAAGGAAATGGCAAAAAGCAAGCTTATGGAGTCCTTCAAAACTTTTCTTCAGGCTGTGTACTCCAAAATGCAGGACATAGGGAGGGAAACAGAAAAAAATAATCCAAGCCAGATGGTTTCAACTCTTCTGGTTCTCTCCCCTTACCTACTACTAAAGTTTTGCAACACCCAGCCTGATTAAGAGTTCTGAGGGTTCAAAACCTGACTTTGTCCTTTTCTAAACATCTTGGTGGCTATTTTTAAAAATTTTCTTATGACAGACAAATTGAACTTGAGACAACAATGATACACAGAAACAGGAATATCAAGAGACTGGATGTAAATGCAGGACTAGAGTGAGAAGGCAACTCTGGGTAAAGACGTAAGGTCCATCTCTCCATGTCTTGCAACATTACAGGCAAATGTTTTCCAGTTTATGCAAGGCCAAGACATTATTAACAACAAGGACCACAACAATATTAAGACCTTTACTGAAGAAAAGACATAATTTGACACATTCCTTAGGAAAAATGCAATAGGTAGAAGTCAGTCATCACTCATCAGCAATACCGAGTGAATAATTTTAGTGTTTGAGCTCCTCTGTCACATCTCACAAAACATGTACCTTTTTATCAGGACTTCAAAGGATCACGTTACATTTAAAATCATTCTGTAGTAGTATTTTAAATTGGAGTTCTCATATTGTAAGTTTGTGTGTGATGTAAAATATAAAGATTAATATGACCGGAATACAACACAGCTGCCTTACACTGTTAAAAACTGGTTGCATCATGTAGGCAACGTGCATGGCCTCAACATGCCCAAGGCAACTCCCAGATCTTCCATGTCATGAAGTGCTGTTCAAAGCTCAGTTACAACTACAGGGTACGTTTCTAAGTAAACTAGCACACCCTAAAAACAAGCTGGGGCAAGTTCTCTATCTTGTCTATCAACAAATCACCGCACATTTCTGTAAGGTTTCTTCGTAACACTGCCTTCGTATAACTATTTTCATCTTATTTTTTAATCAATAAAAATGCACAAGCTTAGCCAAGAAAGTTCTCTCCACTGTGTCACAGCGAAGAGTTTATGTGATATATAAGATGCTGCTTAAGGCAAAAGACAACATGACACCCAGCTGATTAGACTGGCAGTTGAATCTTATTTCAACACCTGGTTGGTTTTGATGGTGGCACAGAATGGACTTAATAACAGAAGGAAATGGCTGAAAGGCTCAAAGAAATGGTTGCAGAGCTCCACTGCTGCACCAACATCTGCAGCCTGGGGCACCTGCCTTATTATCTGTAATAGTTAGCCCTGAATATACCAAATGGTATATGAGTCAATGAGTCAAACCTCAGCTGCAGTTACTTCAGATTGTACTGTAAACTGCTACAGACTACAGGCAAGCTAAGCAAATTCTGTAGTTTTTCCCATGTTCAGCTAGCATTGCCAAGTCATAATAACCAAAGCAGAAAACATGTTCCTGAAGTGTCAGATGAACCAGAAAGGAAGTGCATATTGAGCTGGCTCTATCATCACAGCCACTCTGTGACTTTCCAGCAACAGAGCCATCCTTGATATTTTCTAGAATTCAGGTCAAAACAAACAGCCATTGAAAGTCCCAACCACAGATCCATGCTGGGGGGGACCCTGTACCAGTCTGGTGTACTTTCACACCTATATGTTCTCAGGATCACTTCATTAACAATTTTTGCAAGTTTAAATAGTAGTCATTTGTAGTAGTGAAATTATTGGTTAAATTCCTACGAGTTATGTTATTTCAACTGGCAATTTGCCCTGTTCCATTTGATGCTTATGACTGCACAATTTATCCCTGGAAAAAGAAGTTCTCCTGCCATTCAGCTAGCATATCTATTGCAACCCCAAATGGTGAATTGACACTGCCACATACTAAGCAGAGTCTGATGGGTGACATGCCTTTTCCCTGCATGCCTTAACCGTTTCTACTATTAAATTAACCTGAGTTCTACAGTTTTACACTGCCAGGACTACGGCATTCATCCAGTCTCCTTCTTTACAAAAAAGGGCATAAACAACAGCATAACTATTTATGCTCTACATGGGTATCCAACATCCACTGTACATAGACATAATATTTTATTGGACTAGTGAGAGTCATGCTTGTGAAAATCACAGGTGGCCTGTGGTCCATGAGTGGGATGTCTTCACTCACAAATTTTGAGATGTGGTGCCTCCCCTGCTTGGATCACGAGTTGTCCATGGTGACAATATAACACTAGAGAAAATGTGTTGCTTTCAATTTAATGGAAATAACTGAGGATGTGGCACATGCTAGTAAGTAAACTGAGAGTAATAACCTTTTAAAGAAAGATTTTAATCTGTTCTCAAATATTTTATATATTTTAAAAATAATTTTAATATACTCTAGTATAAATTGCTTTTGGAACCCTGCTGGACAGAAAAGCAATAGACAAGTACAATGAACAAACCAATGGACAACAAGCTACTGGATATTAATATGCATGAAAGGGAAATCACAGAAGTCCTCATGGCTAATTGCTACTGAGTGACAAAATGCTGGTGTGCAAGTGGATGCTTGATTGGGCACATGACTGATTTATTACTGGCACCTCATCAATTAGCTGTGGCCACTTCCCTACATTTCAGCTACCTACAATTTGTTTGTTTTAATAAAGGAAGAAAGGGTGGCAACAGAGCTACTTTTTCATCTCCAACCAATGTAATTTATTGAGACAAAAAAAGTCCCATGTCATTATGGTTGCAAAACCATAATGCAGACAAACAGAGGTGATTACTCTGATTACCAGTAGGTTAACCGTGCTAGGGGAGTAAACACTGGAATTCTCAATAGGCTCAGGAAACACATTACACAGGAATATGACCCTCCATGAACCCTAATCCTACTGATTTTCAATACATTGAAATTCCTGTGCAAGAGTTCATCCATTGCAAGTTTTTTTTAATCCAGCCAGGTTATTTATTTATTTATTTATTTATT